CCCCAAAACCCCAAAACCCCAAAACCCCAAAACCCCAAAACCCCAAAACCCCAAAACCCCAATTGATTAGTTTATAATTGAACTATATTTATTGATGTTAATTCTATCTATGATTCCATGCTTGACGTCAGTGTTTAGAGATCTTGAACTACATAAGTGTATTTGTAAGAGATCGTACACTCTTGGTCAGGATCAATGGGGACTAAAACTTTCAAGGCTACTTCTCCAGGTTGGAGAAGAACTTTAATGGAGTCTGAATCCTCATCTCCTACTATCTTCAAGTTTGTCTTTGTGAACTTGTAGTTTCCTTCAAACACTTTATCACTCTCATTGTTCTCATAAAGGAAGTAGAACTTCTTTTGGAAAAATGAGGAGTAGAAGTAAATATTATACTCTTCATTGTTATATTGAATCTGCTTCATCTTACCCTTCTGTTTTACCTTATCTATGATAAGTTCTTCATCGTTTAGAACTTCTTCAACTCTGAACGCATAAGAATACTTAACCCCGCTCTTCTTTGAAGAATCTGTTGTCGATAGCTTCTTGACTATTTTAGCTCCAGGATAAATATCAATAACCCATGATTTACTGCTTGGATTGTCAATATCGTGCATATTTCTCAAATCAAGCTTGAACTTTGCTTTACAAAGCTTATCTTCAGTGTGGTTCTCCATCAAGAAATAGAAGTCACTTCCTCCATACATCGTATAGATGAAAATATCAAAAGGCTCTTTGTTGTAAGTGACTTGGATTTTCTTTCCTTTATCATAAATTTCTTCGAGATACTTCTTTTCTCCAAAAGAGAATCTGGTTTTGTACTCAACTTCGTATTTGCAGTATCTATCAGTCCTTCTTAGAATTACAATTTTAGATTTTCCTGCACTAACCTTAATTTTAGCTGCTGTTCCGCTGTAGGGATCTGCTAATTCGAGGTTATCAAGTCTAGAGAAGTTGATCTTCTCCTCTAGGACAGCATCCTTAGAGTCATTATAGTAGAACAAGAAACCATATTCTCATTTTGAATCTGTCACACTCATGCATCTGAATGAATTCTCTTGCTTGTGGTCATAATAATAATGCCTCTGGGATTTAAGCATTGCTCAAGATGCTAGTGCCTTCTCCAAGAAACTAGGGTAGTTATTTTTCATACAGATTAGCTAAATGAGGACCATAGAATGAAACAATAAATGAATCATGAGGCCTGTTTTCATCCCAGTCAATTTCTCAATATAGGTAATATTCACCTGCTATCAGATCTGCTTCAATTGCTATTTCATCCTTTTCATCTACAATGGCGTCAATATATTCTAATGGGAAGTCCTTGTTGTCTTTCTCAAGCCTTGCAAGAACCATTTTAGCATTATAAGGCTTGTACCCATACTCCTTAGGAACAATTCTATAAGCTAGCTGAGAAAGATTTAAGAAAATTTTTGAATCCTGAACCACTTGAAGCTTGAGTACAGAATGGCTTCCAATATCTTGCTTCACCTCAAATCTGGTGTATTCATAATCATCATGGATTTTGCAGATGACACTTGCGACGAAAGATTCAAGGTAATCTTCCAAAGTCATGTAGAATATTCCATTTTCACTAGATTCATATTCAGCTTCTTCTTTAATTTCGCTTGTCCAGAGGTCGGATTCATCAGACCAATCTCCTTCCCAATCAAAATTTTTCCAAGGGTTTCTTATCTTGATCAGCTTAACGTTCCCATTGCTTGTATTGATCTTATAGGTTCCAATCACATTGTAGGAGAAGTTGCTGATGCTGCTTTGATCATCAAAATTATACTTCTCAGTATCTAAGCTACAAAGCATTGCGTAGCCATTCCTAATGCCATCCTTGAGATTCTTCCATACATCCTCTGTTTTACAGTTGTCATGGTCTAAGGTGAATACAGGGGCTCCTGTGATTGCTTTGAGTACCTCACTTGAAAGCCCAAATACAATTTTGTCATATCCTCCATTTGCTTTTGCCCATGCTTTCTCAAGAAGCTGGACCCATATACTGTCTGTGGTGGATCTAGAGAAGGCAATATCTTTAGAGTTTTCATAGACAGGGATGAAATCATCAATGATAATCTCAGTCCTTTCTCCATTCAAATACATTTCTGTGGCATAACAGCCAACTCTGTTCCAATCTTGAGATATGAAGCATTTCCTAATTCTCTCTGGGTTCTCTGCCAGAGCACTGACGGCTGACAGGAAGTATGAATTTCAGAGTCAGCCTTGCTGGATCACCTCAGGAGAGATCTCCCCAAAGAAGCTGGTGCGACTTGGGTTATAAATTTCAGAAAGTCTGGCATACTCAAGAGTCTTCAAAACATCAATTTCTTCTTGCTCAAGTTCAAATACACTCTCATTGGTGATTATGGATCTTTGGTCTGGGATGAAGCTTTCGTCAGTGAATTCTTCTTCAAGTTCGGCCAGGAGTTCCTTATAAGTAATCTCTTGGCCTGCTTCTTCAGCTGGATCGCTGGTTGACATATTTAAAAAAATTTATATTTCAAAGAAAATATGAACAAGAGGGGTTTTGGGGTTTTGGGGTTTTGGGGTTTTGGGG